CATAAAGCCTAATGAGGAATTAAGGTAACAAAAATGGATCCAGTACATTTCTTCTTTTACACATTCCTTCACTTATTGTCAAATGATGACGTTCTTTAGTATCATTCATRGGGATGTCCATAAATGTAAGTCATACGACTGACTTTTACTTAAAAATATACCTTCCACGTTACTTCAATGCTTGTTGATGACTTTGGTGTTGCAGATACACCTGATGGTCTTCCCTCTGGTACTGTAGATATCAATATTATATACTATTAAGAATTGCATTGATAAGCTTTAACATTAGATGTAGAAGTTGTGCATCATTCAACCACTAACCCTTCCATGAGCAATCGGAAAGATGTGATTTCAAGAATTGTATTTACCCTAAGTGCCCTGAACAACAGAGATTTGAATTTAGCCCGCAGTCTCATTGCTTATTTGCTGCACAACAATTAAAGGTGTGAGTTTTGRTGTCAGAAGGCTTCAAGATAATGTATCAGACACTAAAAGTAAATTCAAATCTCAGCTATCCACAATATAGTTAATGCGACCTTTCACACGAATCTTTTGTCAGCGTGCATTATCAATACAAATAATTTTTCCCACTTATTTATCTTTCATTTACCATCCTCTTTTGTGGTTGCTGTTGCGATGTTGCTTTCAGTGCCATAATATCTTGAATTCCACATTGATACAGTTATACTGTATGTCATCCACTTGTTCAAGTTGGTCAGTAATGTTTTTCTGACGTTTCTCACGAGTTTTGTCTTTTTGATTCTTCGTGCATCAGTGTATGTAATTCTAAAGCCAGTTGAAGGTCCGTTGAATTTTGCCCAACGTGACAACTAGAGAATATTGAGGTAAAATTGGACAGATGTTTGACGTGCTAAATATTGACAATCAAAAACATGGACAGTTATACTTAGAGTACAAGAACAATGACTTATTCGACCAAAAAGACTAAATAAGAAATCAAGGAGGTAAGAAAAAAGAGTCCTGTATATTTCTTTTGTTACACTATCTAAGTTTATTGTGAAATAACAAGGAACTGTAGTAACGCTATCTTGTGTCTGCGTGTATTATGCACTGTGTTAAGTGTCATGATATGAAACACTTTATAAAATTAAAATGCACCAAATTAACCCTATAGGCGAAAGAGTTTAAAGTCGTCATTTACTTTCGGGGCAATATTGCAGATCAGTAAGCAGCAAAGGGACAACGGCAATAGGCATGACATAAATATGAGAAGGATCTGTCATACGACTTTTATATAGAGGTGAACATGCACACACTTTGCGGAGATGAACCAAGAAATTGTTAAAAAACTTAATTTACAGGCGAGGATGAAGATTCGAATCCATCGTTGTGCATTTTCTAACCCTATTATTTCYCCAAATTTAACCATTGAACAATAACTTCGATTTCCCTGAATGAACATGAAGTTTTGCGTGATTGTTTTCCCATGGACTTCACGAATAACGACGTAAGATTGAATATATAATTGTAGAATCTAATATAGGGATTTAATACACTTCTATATGTACATTCGAGCCATTCATAGGAACATCCATATATGGTAGTAATGCGTCCGACCTCTGCTAAGAAATATACCTTCCATGCTACTTCAATGCTTCTTGATGACTTTGGTGTTGCAGATACATCTGATGGTTTTCCTTCTGGTTCTGTAGATATCAATATTATATACCATTAACAACTACATTTTAATAAACTTTAACATTAGATTAATAAGTTGTGCATCATTCAACCACTAACGGTCGCAAGAGCGATCGAAAAGATGTGTTCTTCAGGAATTGTAACAAGTTTATGTGCACTGCATGACAAAAGAGGTTTGAATTTAGCACGCAGTATCATTGCTTATTTGCGGCACAAAGAAGTGTGAATTTTGAGGTCAGTAGGCTTCAATGTAAAGTATCAGACACTAAAGGTTAATTTAAATCTCTGCTATCCACCATAGAGTTAATGAGACCTTTCACTTGAATCTCTTGTTAACGTGCATTATCAGCACATTGTAATTTTTTTCTACTTTATCTACTATTTACCATCTTCTTTTGTGGTTGCCGTTGCGATGTTGCTTTCAGTGCCATAATACTTTGAATTCCACATTGATACAGTTATACTGTATCTCATCCACTTTTTCAAGTCGGATAGGAAGGCTTTTCTGACGTTTCTAACGAGTTTTGTCTTTTTGATTCTTCGTGCATCAGTGTATGTAATTCTAAAGCCAGTTGAAGGTCCGTTGAATTTGGCCCAATGTGGCAACTAGAAAATATTGAGGTAAAATTGGACAGATGTTTGACATGCTAAATACTGGCAATCAAATACATGGACGGTTATACTTAGAGTGTGAGAACAATGACTTATTCGAACGAAAAGTCTGAATAAGGAATCAAGGGGATAACAAAAAGGAATCCAGTACATTT